GGGGTTCGGGCGGAACCGCGCTTCCGGTCGTGGGTGGGTGGATGGAAAGGGGGGTACATGGGGTGAGTAGATGGATGGAAAGGGGGGTACACGGGGTGGGTGGGTGGATGGATGGAGGAGAGTACATACCATGGATAGATGGAGAAGGTGGTACATATGGTGCATGGAAGGGAGAGATGGATGGATGGATGGATGGGGAGGAGGGTACATGGGGTGCATTGGATTGATGGATGGATGGATAGGGAAAAGATACATGGGGAGGATGAAGTGGGAGGTGTATGGATTGATAGCGACCGATCTGTGGTGTCTCCTCAGACACCACCAAGTCTGCACGTGCCAGCATGCGTCCCCACCCTGCTTCCCTATCATCGCCTCCTGCGGTGTCTCCTCTGCACCAGGCTGACTTTGCCATCTTGCTTTGCAGTGCTGATAAACCCGCTGGTGGACAAGGACGCGGGGGGCGTGGTCGCTGTCATCCTGGTGAGTGAATGGGAGCTGGTGGGAAGGGGAGAAAGCTGGAAAGGGGAGGGCAGAGGAACTGAGTGGCCAGGACTCGCTTGGGGTCCGGCCGTTGTACGCAGAGGTGTCTGCTCAGAAGTACTGCACAGCCCTTCGCAGAGGGGGTCCCACCTGCCCCACCCGCTCCCCTTCGATGCAGAAAGCACCGCGGCGCAGTGCACCAGCTGCTCAGCCCCACACAACACCAGCACACTGGCTTAGTGCAGGTGAGTCTGTCTCAGCTCCTGCCGTTTGCTCCCTGGGCCAGCCCCTGAGGGAGATGGGGGGCAGAGCATACCCAGCCATGGTGCATTCGGTTACTGACAAGTACCTCCCTTGACTGTTCAGGCAGGACACCAGGTGACCGACGGGGCCACTTCTCCCTGTGCCCATGAGGGGAGGCAGAGTTTGGCTCTGATCGGCACGCGGGGCGTGCACTGAGGAGCTCTGGGGGGGCAGGGACAGGGCAGCCTCCATATATGGGTGCTCAGGGCTGTCCGCTTGCTAAGGCTGCCTCTTGGCACGGGCGCCAGGCCCTGAGCAGGGCTAGGGCGGCTCTCCCAGTCTGGCTGCGCGAAGCGTTCGCGGGGGGGAGTCTCGTCCCCCGGCTTCCCACCCCTCTGCGGGCTGCCCAGCACGTCCTTCATCACCATTCTGCTGAGCCATGGCCAGCCTGGGGGTCAGCCGGCCCGCGGGAAGGGCAGCTCGCTGGCGCCCTCTGGAGGTGAAGCTGGAGGACGACGGGTGCGGCTCCCAGCATCACCCAGGGGCTGGTGAGTTTTCTTCTATTAAATAGCGCCCCAGTGGAGCCCGGACAGAGCAGCCCCCTGTGGGGCTAGGACCCGTCAGCCTGAATGCCCTGTCCTGGCTGAGATGGGGGGGCGGGCAGCAAAGCTCGTCAGTGATCGCCGCAACAGAGAGCCCTCAGCTCAGGCTCCCATAACCCCTCACTGCTGCATCCCCCCTCTCCCTACGGCGCCACCTGCTGGCTCCCGCGTGCATCTCCACTGCCCCCTAGGGGGCAGACGGGGAGCTGCACCAGGCCTAACCCGCAGCAGGAGAGGGCAGGTGTGCGCCTTTGGAGCAGAGGGCCGTGGCTTGGATTCCTGCTTCCGGCCGTGGAAACCTGCCTGGCCGCAGGGCAGCTGTGGAGCAGAATGAATTCGGTGTGAATTGCTCCGTAGGGTGGAGGGGCACGCAGCAGTAGCTCAGGGCGCTGCAGGGCTGGCTGGTAGAGGAATGCAGGAGCCGGCTGCTTTTGGGGGTGATTTTT